AAAGAGTGCAGGAAATGGTGCTTGAAAATCGTCAGTTAAGTGTAAGAGAGATAGCAAGAAAGCTCGACATCTCTGGGCWAAAATTGTTATTCTACAAGAAATGCACCTGTAAAGGGTGTTATAGCTTTGGTACAGCTAAAATTGAGTTGTTTATTTTAGATAATGCCAGCTTTGGCTTGGATTATGCACTCTTATTTTATACCATATCAATWTGCCTGAGTTTGATTTCAAAAGTTTCGTCTGAAGATGTTGTCTGGCTATGCTTTCTGCAACATTAAACGCAGATTTTTAGGGGTATATATAATTTTTGTTGCAGACTGAAGTTGTAACATTTTTAGTTTCATAGAACTACTATAACATTAATTATAAATATATAATCCTCCTCTGTTTAGTGTAGTCCWTCGTTTATTTATTTACTGTTTATTGTAGAAGTGAACCAAATAAAATTCGTCAATATCATTAATTTCAGTATAGTGGAGATCTGAAGAAGAAGTGTAATCTGGCTGAATATTAGTAGTGCTCATATACTAGTCAAGTTGGAACCCGTGTTGTATACTGATGGTTTTAATATATTCTCATCTGATACTCCGAAGGCCATGTACAGTAAAAGAAAACCGATATGGTTAGGTTCTGTTAAGTTAGGTTAGATGGCTGATCTATCTGAGTGGATGGTCACTTCTCTGAAGAAGGCTGCACTCCGCAGCAACAAATCTACTGCTACTATGATGGCTGCAACCACAGCTTGGAAGACACTACATTAGTCAGGAGGTCTGAAACTGCAGCTGATAGAGAGCTCTCGACAGTAAACCCTTCTACAAACTTTTCCCCCCAAGCTTTGACCCATCCTGTAAAGAAGCTCACTGTCCCTCTCCTAAAATGACTTCTTCCCACCTTTAGCTCCCTCGTTGGTATATGGGCATAAAAAGAACCGATAGGGTTATCTAGAATAAATAAAATTATATCTTATTTTTAACCATAAAAGGGGGCTCTTTGCTGCCCTTGGAACAAAAATACACGTTCCAATATTAAATATATACAATTACTCCCGGATCTTTAAGATAACACCGAACTTAAAACCTAGACTCTAATTCTTATAACAATACCYTATACCGCAACTATATGACTCTCATCACTTACCGTTAATCCATGCACCAGTGGCACCGGAAATGATACTGACAAAATGATCACCCACATTGTTACAATTGCAATCTTTGTCACCTTCTCGGTGCGCAATTGTCGCGAACGTATTGGATGTACGACGGCCAAAAAACGATCTACCGACATCAGCACCAACGTGTAAATGCTCGCGAAAGCMGTAACAACAATCAAATATTGCACCGTCCGACACCACAAATCACCGAAGGGCCARTACTCGGTTATATAATCGGTTGCGGTGAATGGTATGCAGAAAACGACGAAGAGGAGATCGGCAACGGCTAAATTGACAATCAGCAGATTTGTGGTCGAATGCATTTGTTGATTGAAGAGCACGACGAGTATGACGAGCGTATTGCCGAAGAAACCCGATACGGCGAAAATGCCAAAACAAAAGGGCACAACAATGCGCACGAAGTTGCGTAGTTCGGGTGATAATTCATCGATTTCCTCGTACTGCTCGAATTCGGGATCGAGGAGAGTTTGTGTGGTGGCATTCAATAGTGCCGTTGTGATGTTATGTGTCTCTAACATTTTGCTGTTGTTGTTGCTATTGTTTGTGTGGTAGTAGGTGGTGTTGTAAGCAGTTATATTGTTATGTAGTTCGTTGTTGTTGTATATAATTAGATTTCTTGTTAAATTGGAGCTCAGATTTAATGCTAGTCCTGTAAAGTTCATGTTTCAACTGTTGGTATTCTTGTTAGTGTTCTTTTAAACATAAGTACTGTTATCACTGTTGATTGCATTTTCTTGCGTTTTTGAAGCACTATTTTCTGTTTTGAAAGTGGTTTTTTGCGTGCGCTAAAAAAAATTAAAATATACTTATTTGCAGCTTCTTTAATATTTCATTAACTAATT